AGAAACATTTTGCATACTGACCTGATTTGAGGTGTTTTCACTGTCACTCAGATCTCATTCTGCCAGCGCAGAATCTAAAATACACTACTTGTTAGACTCCATTCAAGAAATGACTGTAATGTTTTCCCATAATTACAAAGATCAGTGCCGTTTTGCATATCTTCAAAGGGGAACTCCACCACTTTTCCAAAATTTCTGCACAATTTAATGGTTAAGATGTAATCAGAGAGTTGTTCAGAGCGGTTTGGTGTGAAACGTTCTGTTCTGGAGAAACTTGCCGAGTCAGAACTGTTCACAGTGGTGGTGATAGGAACCAGACGTCCACCTCTAAAAGCTCCCTCACAGAAAGTTCCTACATGAAATGGTTATGAATTCACTGCCTGATGACTGAGACACTGTTTTATGATAGTTTAGAGAACTTAAACTCCATTCATGGTGGAGGGATACATGCAGGGCGCTGTGAGGCAAAATAGTCCCCAAAGAAAACTTATTATTTCAGATTTTCCACTATTTTCCATCATCAACATTCCATATAAACTCAGAAGACTCGTGTAGGTTCACTGGTGGTTCTGGATAGTAAATAAAATGTCTGTATTTGTTTTGTAGTCATGGCGACCCCTGGTTCCTATCACCACCACTGTAAAGACATCTGAACCATTTCACACCAAACCACTCTGAATCACTCTGCTTACATCTCACACACTGAATTGTGGGGGAATTTTATAATATAAGCAGAATTCCCCTTGGACAGATATGCAAGTATGTCCACAATGCTGCTGTATTGTCATCCAAAGACACAGCCATGTTTTCTTCGTTCTGTCTTGTGTGCTTTTTGTCACTGATTTTAATTATATATTACTGCCCACATGGTTTCCAATCGTGTTATACAGAGCAATGTTTCATCTACAAATAATAATAATAATGTAAAAACATTTCAAGTCTGAATAGGACGGACATCCAGCACAGTGTGGAGAGAAGCAGAACTAAGAAACAAACAAACAAGAACAAAAGCAAAAATGCTTTAAAACAATTTTTGCCAGTTTTGCTGCCGGCAGCTCGTTTCCTTCAGATCGACTTTCGTAAACTGTGTATGGATTTTCTTCTGCTTCCCTGACGTTTCGGTTACTGATTCTGGACAGAATTAAAGAGTTAATACTGTGTTAATATTGTCTCTGATGATGAAGCAAAAAGTAAGCATTTCCTCAAATGCTGACCTTTAAAAGGGGAATGCCACTAATTTTCTAAAATTCCCCCACAATTCAGTGTGTGAGATGTAAACAGAGTGATTCAGAGTGGTTTGGGGTGAAATGGTTCAGATGTCTTTACAGTGGTGGCGATAGGAACCAGGGGTCGCCATGACTACAACACAAATATAGACATTTTATTTACTATCCAGAACCACCAGTGAACCTACACGAGTCTTCTGAGTTTATATGGAATGTTGATGATGGAAAATAGTGGAAAATCTGGAATAATCAGTTTTCTTTGGGGACTATTTTGCCTCACAGCGCCCTGCATGTATCCCTCCACCATGAATGGAGTTTAAGTTCTCTAAACTATCATAAAACAGTGTCTCAGTCATCAGGCAGTGAATTCATAACCATTTCATGTAGGAACTTTCTGTGAGGGAGCTTTTAGAAGTGGACGTCTGGTTCCTATCACCACCACTGTGAACAGTTCTGACTCAGTAAATTTATCTAGAACAGAGCGTTTCACACCAAACCACTCTGAATGACTCTGTTTACATCTTAACCACTTAATTATGTAGAAATTCTGAAAAATTGGTGAGTTCCCCTGACCATTATAGGAAAAGCCATCTCACTGCTGTTGGTATGTTGTACATCAAAATCCTGTCACATGACACTAAATTCATGCATAATTATTTTTCAAATAATCAAAAACTTTTCCACAATAGTTTTCACAGCTTTTCAAGTATCAACAAAAATTTATCTGCTAAAGTCGAATGTAAAAATGTTGGAAAATATTACCACTAAATGCTTTTTCCATCTCCTGCATCCTCAAACATTTCTAAACGTTAAAACATTTTTGCATCAGATTCCTCTCGGCCTACTGAGCCTCTCTGACAGAGCGGAGAATGACGGCGCTGTGTGATGAATGGCCTTGTGGTGATTACAATAATGAAGAATGACTGAGGACAATAAAGCAGGACGTCATGAGAGTCAGTAAGGAGCGGTCACTGTTCCTCCTCCGAAGGGTTACACAAAAGAGTGAGTGAACAAACAGAAGAATGGAAGAAGAAGGAGCGGAACAGTGTCGGCCTGCTGCAGTGCTGGACACAGGTCAGTGAGCTACAGCACTGTTCCTATAGTTTCTGATTGGGGCCGTGAGTTGAACCCAAAGCTCACCAACCTAAGCTTCTTAGGAGGACAACACTAACTGGCCACTTTATTCGAAACACCAACCTTGTACTTCCACACACTGGCCACTTTGTTAGAAACACCCACATTGTGCTTCTACTTTCTGGCCACTTTATTAGAAACACCCACCTTGTACTTCCACTAAGTGGCCACTTTATTAGAAACACCAACCTTGTACTCCCACTTCCTGGCCAGTTTAACAGAAACACCTACCTTGTGCTTCCACTAACAGGCCACTTTATTAGAAACACCCAGCTTGTGCTTCCACTAACTGGCCACTTTATTAGAAACATCAACCTTGTACTTCCACTCACTGGCCACTTTATTAGAAACACCCACCTTGTGCTTCCACTCACTGGCCACTTTATTAGAAACACCCACCTTGTGCTTCCACTCACTGGCCACTTTATTAGAAACACGCACCTTGTACTTCCACTCACTGGCCACTTTATTAGAAACACCCACCTTGTACTTCCACTCACTCACAAACAGAACTGAGAGAGACAAAACAACTTGAAATGGTTGGCTAGCATGTAGTTTGGATAGCAAATATGCTAGCTAGTAAACTTATACTTAGCGTTAGCAAGTTTTAGCAGCTACAGATTACATTTCTTTAAATCTTACTAACCTTCAGCTGGATTAGCTATTAGCTGGCTTACATGCTATTCAAACTACAGATTAGCCAACTGTTCTAAGCTGTTTAGCCCTTTTTCCTTAAACACTACATTTACTGCATGTAGCGCTTCAGTTCTGTCCTTCAGACCGACTCACATCTCTGGATTCCACTTTTTAGTCTGGTTTAGAAACCCTAGCTTGTATTTCTGCTCACTGCCCACTTTGTGTGCTCCACATACCTTTCCGGTCTACTATATTCAGTTAGGGATGCACCAATCGAAATTTCTTTCCTGACATCGATTCTGATATCTGAACTCAAGATATCGCTGCATATCGAGTACCAGTCCGATACCAGAGCTCTGTTAAGGCACTCGTGTGTCACGGTAGAACAATACATAAATGTAAATATACAGTAGAGGTTAATGTAGCACAGAGAAGACAGTCATTCCCCAAGATTCTCTTTATGATTGTGTTTTTATCTAATTATCCTGCTCTAAAAGGTCTATAAAACTGCTCTGTTACAACTTTATAGCGACTGTGACTGAGAAACACTATCAAATATGGATCAGGTCAGCATCGGTGGTGATACTGACCAAGTATCAGATCTAATATCAGGCACAGCGGTGTTGGTGAGGTTGTTCCACATGTCAGGGCCACTGCTAGCTTGAAGGTGGATGACCACCAAAAAATATCAGCCAAGAGTGGCTCTGTGGTCAGAAACTGACCACTGATGAAGGGCTAGGTGATCAAATTGTACATTAACAGATGAGCTACAGTCTCTAAAAGTACTCCAGCCACAGGGGCGGGGCTCCTGAAAGTGGCCGAGGAGTCCACACAAGTGATCTACGAGGCCTATAACATCAACAGAGCATTCAGTCATTCACAGCTTATGGTACAGATAGAAGTCCACAGTTATAAAGGAACTGCTGTTGGAAACGATCGGAAGCCGCAGCACCGAGTCCTGCTGGAGCTGGTGCACTGTTGTTGCTGGTGGTGTTTCATTCAGAGGTACTTCAGCTTCAGTAACTGTATCAGAAACAAAGTCTCGATATTAAGACGACAGCTCAGGAAAATATGGATTCACCAATTTACACCAAATGTAGTCAATCAGCCGAGACGTGTTTGGTGTCTGAAGTTTGCCTCTGTAGTTTTAGCACTGGAGCTACAAGGTTAAGGCATTTGGCTCCTATGGGTTTTTCAGCAGGGTCTACTATAAAATAAAGGCCCAAAAACACAGCAAATGCTCTACATAGGAATGCAGCTCACGATCAGCTCAGAAGATGCTAACCGGCGAACAGGCTAATCCAGTAATTTTCAGAGTTAGGCTTTAAATACAAATGTTTACTGAAAGATTTGCTGCAGCACACAAAGTGAAAAAATATGCTGGCTGAAAATTCTCAGCAATTCTCAGATTAGTTGAAAGATTCTGAAAATATCATAATTTATAACTGTTTTTTTTAAATATGTAGAATATTTAGACTTTGGAACTCATTTACATGAGCATGTGTGGCACTCTGAAGCTTCTCCAGCAGGAGGCGCTAGTGTTAGCACACAATCAGCCATGAATGCTAATGTTTGTAGTCAAAACTTTCAAAAGAAAAGGTGAAATAGTTTTTTTAAATAATGTTATTTCATATATGCTTTTAAATAAATCAGTAAATATTTAGCCTACAAATCATAGTGTGGGCTATAGAAATTACATCAACAATCGTTTTATAATAGAGTCTCTCACTGCTACTGTACTACATGTGCTTTGGTGTTTTGTGTTACGTTTATGAGACCATAAGCAAGAATGGGAAAACCTTTCAAGAACATTTCATGAGAAATGCCTCGACTACGTTTGGGATAAAGAGAGAGTTGTGTAAAAGTATGCTGCATAACATGTTAGCTACATTAGCCTCATGGCTCCAGTGCAAAACTGAAGAACTTAAGATGCTAAATAGTCTTTTCTGATTGACTACACTGAGGGAAAATTGTGTAAATTCGATTTTTCACTGAACTGTCGTTTTATGTGTTGACCTTTTTTGGGCCGCTCAGCATGGAGTCCCTATGGCCATCTCCGCAGAGCCGTCCTTTACTTTATCGAAGAAAACGGAGGCTGGCGTCGTTCCAGAAACAATCTGCAGCTTCTCTTCGTTCACCGAAACCGGGGAGGAAGGAGAGGAGGACATGGCGGTCGCTGTGGTGGACGAAGACGACGACGATGATGATGACGAAGCTCGGTCCGGCAGACACTCTTCACAGCAGCAGCAGCAGCAGTCCACGAAGCTTCGGCCTAGCGAGCGGCTGGCTAGGAGAATTAGCATGGGCGTGGCTGCAGCTTGCGCAAACATCAGAAACTGACCAATCAGAGATAAGAGGGCCAGCGTGGCCTTACTGACCTCCAGGTTAGCGTAGGCAAGGCCTATGTTCCACGCGTGTTCAGGCAGGCCGCATAAGCCGTAAACGGCCATTAGCATGGTTAGCATGCGGCTTAGCTGATCCTCCTGACCTCGTTTCTTCTTCTTCAGTGAGGATGAAGAGGACGAAGAGGACGAAGACGATGAAGGGCGGGTCTGTCTCGCGGATTCTTCGACCATGTGGCTCGTAAGCAGCCGGCAACCCAGAGAAAAAAGCAGAGGCAGGCAGAAGAAGCAGCCGAAGGTCCACCACATGCGAGCCTCATGGTAGGTCAAAACCAGAGAATAAATAGCCTCGGGCAGCGATGCAGATGGCCGGCGGGCGCAGGAGTCCATCGGCAGACCGGAAACGGGCGAAGTTTCTGTGTCCATCTGCCACAGAAGCAGCTCTGGAGTAGCTAGAAGCAGAGAGCCGAACCAAACCACGGAGAGCTTAGCGACGATGGAGCCGCACGACTCCACCTGCTGCTGCTGCGGCCTGGAGGGGGCGCCGGTCAGCCTGTGGAAGCGGTCAATGCTCAGAGCACACAGGCTGAAGGTGAAGACACCTAGAGACGTCACCTGAGAGAGGGCGAGAGAGAACCAGCCATTAGAGGATGGTAACTAGCTCAATTAACTTAGCGCTAGTTTAGTGAAAGATAGAACTTCGACAGTTTCTCCCTTTACGAGGCTAAAGCAGTAATGGAAGCATCTGTACATGAAATCACATTAGCATGGTGCTAAATTCATGCCTAAATTGTCACTCACTTGTCTTAAACCATGTGGAGGTGTTCAGTAATCTACAACCCCATTTCCAAAAAAGTTGGGACGCTGGGCAAAATGTAAATAAAAACAGAATGCAATGATGTGCAGATAACTTAAACCCTATACTTCATTGAAAATAGTACAAAGACAACAAATCAAATGTTGGAACTGAGAAATTTGATTGTTTTTTTGAAAAATATTTGCACATTTTAAATTTGATGCCAACAACACATTCCAAAAAAGTTGGGACGGAGGCAACAAAAGGCTGCTAAAAACGTCTTTTTCAGGGACGGCCTTTATTATTTCAGCAAGACAATGTAAAACCACATTCTGCTTGTATTACGGCAGCATGGCTCTGTATTAAAAGAGTCTGGGCTCTTAACTGACCTGCCTGCAGTCCAGACCTGATACCACTGATAACATTTGCCGCATTATGAAATGAAAAATACGACAAATGATGAACTGATGAGCAGCTGAAATCCTGTATCAAACAAGAACAGGAAAACATTTCACTTTCAAAACTACAGCAGTGTCTCCTCAGTTCCCAAACACTTACAGAGTGTTGTTAAAGAAGAGGTGATGAAACTCAGTGCTAAACAGGCCCCCGTCCCAACTTTTTTGGAACGTTGTTGGCATCAAATTCAAAATGGGCAAATATTTTTCAAAAAACAATAAAATTTCACAGTTTCAACAACTGATATGATGTCTTTGAAGTATTATCCTTTAAAAATATGGTTTACATGATTTGCAGATCATTGCATCCTATTTTTATTTACATTCTGCACAGCGTCCCAACTTTTTTTGGAAATGGGGTTGTATAATAGACTCAATTATGTAGTTTCTGACTCTGTATGACTCACCATTATCTATAAACATGCAATAAAGAACATTAGCGTAGCTAAACACAGTAGAGATATCCTGAGGCCTCAAATTGTCTGTATTCTTATCCACTTTTACAGATAAACAGTAAATCAAGTGCTCGATGGTTCAGCCATGCAGTTAGCGCCATGCTGGTTCATGCTTCCATTACTTGTTAGCTACATTAGCCTCGTAGCTCCAGTGCTAAAACTGAAGAAACTGATCGACTGAATTTGGGGTTAAATGGGTGAAACTGGGTAACGTTTTCACCGAACTATCGCTTTAATCGTTCATCCGAACAACAAAAACAGGCCGAATGAACCTCTAAACAAACACAGCCTGTCGCTTCAGACCGTTTGACCTAAATCTCCATTTAACACACTAATGACCTAAATTAGTTCTGCACAGCCATTCAGGCTCGTTAAGCAGAGCCTGGATTTGCATTTGAATCGGACAGAGGGAATTCTTTCACATCGGTTCAGAGCAGAGGCAGAAATAATGAGATGAAGTCCAGACACAACAAACGGCCTGTTTGACACTTTACAGACTCAACACCCACACTAATGTTAAATCGACACCAGAGGAACAGCAAAACTCACCACCCTGCAAAAAATCATCTCTTGTCAAGTGAAATGATCTTAAATCTAGTCGATATATCTAATGTTGCCCATGTTTGAGATTATTGTAAGTTTATTATGAGATTATTTAACTTATTTCTAGACTTTTTTCTACTTATTTTAAGTAATTTTAGTAGAAATATTCTTGAAACAAACAGTATTACTTACTAGAATCACTTAAAACAAGTAAAAATGTCTAGAAATAAATCAAATAATCTTACAACAATCTCAACATGAGAAATATTAGATATATTGACTAGATTAAACATTTTTTCACTTGATAAGACAATTTTTGCAGTGGTAAAGGCCGAGAAATTACAAAGAAATTACTTTCACTTGCTTAAAAAAAAAACAATGCGGAGTTGAATTAAGGCTGCTAGGTTAATATCATGATCATTAATATAATTTTTAAATTGTTATGTATTATTATTATTATTATTATTATTAAAGAAAAAATAGGCCATAACTTCAGCTATTTCTAATTTTCCTTGAGTTCTATTAAAACTCTTTTTTAATTCTGTTGTTTTATTTTGTTTTAGTTTAATAAAATGTTCTAGCGGTACTCGATATCGACCGGCACCATAACAGAACCGGTACCGAGAGTAAAAGTTGGATCGGTACTCTGTTTGGGCCGATACTCTGAGTTTAAACTTTGCTATCAGGAGAGAAAACATCCCTGTTAAAAAAACTGACCTCCAGGTACGGCACGACTCGGCAGGACAGGTCTCCCATCAGCCTCCTCTTGGTCAGCTCGTTAAAGATGACCACAGGCAGGCAGAAGAAGAGCACCACAAAGTCCCAGAATGCCATGCTGGCCAGGACGCAGTTCCAGGTGTTCTTCAGGTAGTAGTTGTGCCAGACGATGCACATGACCGCCAGGTTACCCACCACACCCACCGCGAAGACCACCAGAGACAGCAGCATGACTGCGTAGGCGCTGTAGGAGTCGTCCGTCACCGGGTACAGCGGGTTGTGGATGAGGAGTGACCCGTTGAAGACCCTCGGAGTGGTGAAGTAACCTTCAGGGTCAAAGGGTCTTGGGTGCCTGTAATTATGAACAGAGGTGGGTGGTAACTTAATGCGCTTGAGTGAGATTCTGAAGGATTTGTACATTGCTAAGTATTTATACTATATGGACAAAAGTATTGGGACACTCCTCCGAATTATTGAGTTCAGGTGTTTCAGCCACACCCATTACTAACAGGTGGATCAAATTAAGCACAAAGTCTTTCAGTCTCCATAGACAAACACTGGCAGTAGAGGGTCGAACTGATGAGCTCAGTGACCTTAAACATGGCGCTGTAATAGGATGCCGCCTCTGCCACAAGTCAGTCTGTGAAACTTCTGTCCTGCTAGATCTGCCCCAGACAACCGTAAGTGCTATTACTGTGAAACGGACATGTCTAGGAGCGAAAACAGCTCAGCCACGAAGCGCTAGACCACACAGACTCACAGATTGAGGCGGCCGAGTCCTGAAGAGCACAGAGTCTATCCTCTGTTGAATCATCACTAAAGAGTTCCAAACTGACTCTGGAAGCAACATCAGCACAAGTGTGTTAAATGTGCTGTATACTGTTCTATCTAGCATGAGAAATGGGTTCTGCTATTGTTACAATGTCAAGCTTGTATAAAGAACCATAAACAACACATTCACCATCAGTCTGAAGATCCATTTCACCATCCAGAGAAACATTTAAGCATGAAATTGTTCCATATTGAACACATGGTTTTAAATAGAACCATTTCCTTTCCTAGAGAACCCTTGAAGAAACAGTGTAGCATTTTGAAATTTTATAAATATTTTTATTTTATTTTACTATTATTTTTATGATTATAGCTGCATTTTATTTTTCTTGATCATCCCACTCAGTTTATTTTTTGATTATTTTTGTTTCTATTTACGCTCAATTTCAATATTTTGATATTTCAGCAATTTGGTCAACTGTTTTAAAGGTGCTTTACGAATAAAATGTACTTACTTACCTACTTTTTAAATTTACATTTTATTTACTATCCAGAACCACCAGTGAACCTACACGAGTCTTCTGAGTTTATATGGAATGTTGATGATGGAAAATAGTGGAAAATCTGAAATAATAAGTTTTCTTTGGGGACTATTTTGCCTCACAGCGCCCTGCATGTATCCCTCCACCATGAATGGAGTTTAAGTTCTCTAAACTATCATAAAACAGAGTCTCAGTCATCAGGCAGTGAATTCATAACCATTTCATGTAGGAACTTTCTGTGAGGGAGCTTTTAGAGGGGGACATCTGGTTCCTATCACCACCACTGTGAACAGTTCTGACTCGGTAAGTTTATCTAGAACAGAGCGTTTCACACCAAACCACTCTGAACCGCTTTGATTACATCTTAACCGCTTAATTATGCACAAATTTAGAAAAACTAGTGTAATTCCACTTTAACATCACCCACCTCTGGGTATGAAGCACCTGATGCTCTTTTTGCTTCAGTTTTCGATCCTTAGAACCCCTCGGAACTCTTCTGTGGTGCTTCTCAAGGTGTGAAATTGAAGAATCTTCCATTTTCACATCTTCACTCCTGCTGTTTCTCAATGCTGGAGCAGACTGGATGGCTGGTGTAGATAGAAGACCATCTGATGGAGTTTCTATCCAGAAAGAAGCTTCATCCACCGCTGTTGGACCTGCTTCTGAAGTTCCTACAAGAACCACAGCCATGCAAAGTAGGAGAACCATTTTTCCCTCCTTCAGAAGGGCCTGGAGTTAGTTGGAGAGCGACGAGGAGACGATGGAGGGATGATGCTGGAGGAGAGAAAGTGGGAGCATTTCACTCACAGTTGCAGCTGCTCTCAGCTCAGGACGCAGGGGTGCTTCTGAGGAACTCTTCGCACTCCACTGACCCTTATTCACCCAAACTGCTGGACCACAGAGGAGAGAGAGAGAGAGAGAGAGAGAGCAAAACAGTGACATCTGGTGGACAGTAAGAGTTTTACACCGTCTAAAGAAAGTAATGGCCCGTCATTGTAAATAAAAAACATAAATGAATAAAATACACAAATGTCTTCCCAGTTTTTTCAAGAATTCATCCTGAAAAAGATGATAAAATACACTGTTAATAAAAGTAAATTTTATCAAAACAAAATAATAAAAAGAATCCATATAAATGCTTTTTTTCTCAAGTACAGTTTAGCCAAGTTTACTGTAACATAATTAAATATTGAAAACAAATGTACTATTATTTGTTACCAGTAAATTACCATTAGCTGAATGAATGAGTGGGTGAGTGTTAATGAGTGAGTGAGTGAGTGGTAATGAGTTTGTGAGTGAGTGTTAATGAGTGAGTGAGTGAGTGAGTGAGTGAGTGGTAATGAGTTTGTGAGTGAGTGTTAATGAGTGAGTGAGTGAGTGAGTGAGTGAGTGGTAATGAGTTTGTGAGTGAGTGTTAATGAGTGAGTGAGTGAGTGAGTGAGTGGTAATGAGTTTGTGAGTGAGTGTTAATGAGTGAGTTACTGCTACCACAGTAAAAAGTGACCCGACTCTCAGCCCAGTTTAACTCTGCTGTCACTGTGAAAAGTCACCAGGCACTCGGCCCGGTTAAACTCTGAACTCTGCTACCACAAGAAAAAAACGACCCGGCTCTCAGCCCAGTTAAACTCTGCTACTATGGTAAACAGAGACCCGGCTCATGGTCCATTCAAATTCTCTCTGCTACCACAGTTACAAGTGGCCTGGCTCTCGGCCCAGTTGAACTCTGCTACCACAGTAAAAAATGGCCTGGCTCTCGGCCCAGTTGAACTCTGCTACCACGGTTACAAGTGGCCCGGCTCTCGGCCCAGTTGAACTCTGCTACCACAGTAAAAAATGGCCCGGCTCTCGGCCCAGTTGAACTCTGCTACCACAGTAAAAAATGGCCCGGCTCTCGGCCCAGTTGAACTCTGCTACCACAGTTACAAGTGGCCTGGCTCTCGGCCCAGTTGAACTCTGCTACCACAGTAAAAAATGGCCTGGCTCTCGGCCCAGTTGAACTCTGCTACCACAGTTACAAGTGGCCTGGCTCTCGGCCCAGTTGAACTCTGCTACCACAGTAAAAAATGGCCCGGCTCTCGGCCCAGTTGAACTCTGCTACCACAGTAAAAAATGGCCCGGCTCTCGGCCCAGTTGAACTCTGCTACCACAGTTACAAGTGGCCTGGCTCTCGGCCCAGTTGAACTCTGCTACCACAGTAAAAAATGGCCCGGCTCTCGGCCCAGTTGAACTCTGCTACCACAGTAAAAAATGGCCCGGCTCTCGGCCCAGTTGAACTCTGCTACCACAGTTACAAGTGGCCTGGCTCTCGGCCCAGTTGAACTCTGCTACCACAGTAAAAAATGGCCCGGCTCTCGGCCCAGTTGAACTCTGCTACCACAGTAAAAAAATGGCCCGGCTCTCGGCCCAGTTGAACTCTGCTACCACAGTAAAAAATGGCCCGGCTCTCGGCCCAGTTGAACTCTGCTACCACAGTAAAAAATGGCCCGGCTCTCGGCCCAGTTGAACTCTGCTACCACAGTTACAAGTGGCCTGGCTCTCGGCCCAGTTGAACTCTGCTACCACAGTAAAAAATGGCCCGGCTCTCGGCCCAGTTGAACTCTGCTACCACAGTAAAAAATGGCCCGGCTCTCGGCCCAGTTGAACTCTGCTACCACAGTTACAAGTGGCCCGGCTCTCGGCCCAGTTGAACTCTGCTACCACAGTTACAAGTGGCCTGGCTCTCGGGCCAGTTGAACTCTGCTGCCACAGTAAAAAGTGACCAGGCTCACAGTCTAACTAAGCTCTGCTAATGCTGTGACAGTGACAAACAAAAAACAAAAATCTGAAGTAAAGCAACAGCTACAAATGTGCAGAGCACCCCCCCCCCACCACCACCACCACACACACACAAGAACAGGAATGAATGTGCAGGTGGATTTATGAATAGTTGAGTGAGAGGGTGAATGAATGAGTGAGTTCTAAGATGTTTAGTGTGACGGTAAGTGAGAGGTAATGAGATGCATCCGTGTTACAGTGCCAAAGAAAACACACACACACACACACACACACACACACATACACACTCACACACACACACTCACACACACACACACACACACACTCACACACACACACACACACAGACAGCTCACAGTTTGATGGAATGAAGGAATGACAGTCTGTCTAGAGGTTTTGGTGCTTTTATGTAATGAGGTTATTTAATCACATGTTTATTTACTGAAATAACAGCAGCTGCTGACAAGAATTTTGTCATGAAGTTTCTTTAAGGAAACAAAATGAACTGACACTGAGCCAAAAACCTCACTTACACACCCCTAATCGTTATTTTACCAGACACTTTATCAAAAACCCATCCCTGTAGCTCCACCTTGTTTGTGTACAGATTAAGCTCGGCTGCCCACAGCGTGGACCAGAAGGATGTTTGATTTGGCCTGTCAGAAAGTTCTCTCACGCAACCAGAGAACAAACACAGCTTTATGCTTCTTCAATTCTAATTTCCTTTCCAATTTAAAAAATATGGTGTAATGTTAAAAAATACTTTTTAAAAGCTTGATTTTAACAAGAACTTCGATATTTGTAAACTGTTTTGTGTTTTTGATCCTCAGTCACCATAAACGCTGCACTTTGGCCCCCAAATCAAAACATTTAGGCACCTTTAGTTAGAGATGTCTGTTGATGGACAGTTTGTGTTTGTGTATCCTCCTTCATCAGGGGTCAGTTTCTGACCACAGAGGCGCTCTTGGCTGGATATTTTTGGGTGGACGGTCCACTGTCAGCTTAGCAATAACATTGACATATGTAAAGTAGCTACTGAATAATTCATAGTAGATGCTGAATAATCCATAGTAGATACTGAATAATCCATAGTAGATACTGAATAATTCATAGTAGACACTGAATAATTCATAGTAGACACTGAATAATTCATAGTAGATGCTGAATAGATATTTAAGATTTATATTTAAGATTAATAACAGAATAAAAGGCCTGCCTTTTAGGGGTTACAGTGAAATTCCAGTGCATGCAGGAAGCCGTTGTTGGTGTGTTTGAGCTGCTGTGTCATGCTGCTATTTTAGGCTCTGATGGCTGAAGGCAGGTGATTGTGTGGCTGAGTAAACATCTCTGTGGCCTCCAGAGGGTTATTTTTAGCCTCTGCTGGTGTGTGTGTGTGTGTGTGTGTGTGTAGTTAGTTCGGTAAGTGTGGATTTCCCCCTTTGTTTTTTTGGGTTCTTGGAGAGATCTTTCCTGTATCTCCCTCACTGGGCGTGCGAGGCTCTCTTTATTCTTCCTCCTCAAACAACAGAACAATAAAGTCGACGTAGAATCTCTCAGCAACAAAGAGCCCTTATGAAATCTGAGAAATTCCTGCAGAGCGCTGGAGCTGCAGTTCTGGAGAAAGTAAAGAATAGATGCGTTCAGATGGAGTGATAGGAGCTGCCCTGTCAATGATTGTTGATGTTTAAACGGTGGAGTTAATGTTCAACAGCTGTGAGTCAGACGATGTGCAGCTTCACGGGAAGTAACAGTACAGCGCCTGTTCAGCCATCGACCTGATTTACCTTCAACAGACTCACGTTTGAGCTGTTTTATGACTGTGTTTGTGTGGATACTCTGAGTTACACACTGTGAACAATACAGACCCTGAACACTGTGACTGTTCGGTTACTGTACAACTGTATTACTGTTATTATTTTAGTGCTTTAAAAACACATCATCACTAAAGCTGCTCTGCAGTTCAGCTACAGTTATATTAGATGTTAAGTTCACTCATTAGAAATAAAGGTACTAGACTGTCACTGGGTCAGTTCCCCTCTGGTCACTGGGGTGGAACCCTCAAGGCTCCATCTCAGTACCTTCAGTCAGGGAACATAACTGAACCATAATCCACTGAAATGATCTGTTCTAAGCTGTACTGACTCCACACACCCCGTCTCGTCTCCAGGCTTTTATTTTACTGTTCTGTTTAAAACATTCGGTTATGAAAAGGTACAAATACGAACTTTTCACCTGGAAAAACTTATTTAAGGTTCACAATCAGACCTTAGAACCACTGTTGGAGCTTTGAGGGAACATTTACACTGTTTGTACCTTGATGAACGAGAAATGTACCTGAACAGAACCTTTATTAATAACAGTGTAGTGCAGTATTTAACTTCTTATTCATAATAACAATAATAATAATGGTAATAATAGCACTTTTGTGAAGTTGGGCCACTTTTTGAAATTATATGAGATAGTTTTGGGATTTGCAGGGTGATTGTTGAAGTAAAAGAGCTGTCAGATATTAATTAATATCCAGCTAATAATTACAGTACAAACTCCAATTAAACCAGAACTAGATTGTTGTTTTGTGTAACTGTAACGACTGTCCAGGAGTTGTTTAGCACGTCTTTGCTGCACTGTGATCATTTGTTAATGTATGTCATAACAGTTATTCATATAATACCTAATTTTCCTTCATAATCATCATATAATCATCACTAATGAGCTTTTTCTAAATCATTTATAACAGCATGCAGATCAGACTAAGAATTTCAGTGACAGTGGAAACTAAAAATGCCAGCTGAATTGAACCTCTGTACTGAATATGTACAATATAATTATTCTATTAATAATATCTATGTTTTTGTGTTTTAATATCGCCATATAAAGCATTAGATATCAGTATGATCGCTGTGCTGTGTTTTACTTTTACATTTGAATTGCTGTATGTAAACTTCAGCCTCCTGACACAAATCTGCTCCCTGAATGATGATAATGATAATAATGATGATAAATATAATAATAACACTGTGTATGAAGACAAAAGGCTGCTAATAAGTGTT